TTAAAAACTTTTATATAAAAAGAAAAACTCATATTTTTCATATTTTTACTATATTTTATTAATAAATTTGTTTTAGTATTTTATTCTTTTTGATTGCTACTATATATTAATTAACAAAATTATAGAATTATATATAATTTTATTAATAAAATATAATAAAAATTAAAATTTTTAATTTTATTAATAAATATTTTTTATTTTTATATTTTAATATATATTTTTTCTGACAAAATTGGTTTAATTGCAAAATTTTTTATAATTAATTTTATAATTAATTTTATATTTTAATTATAAAAAAGTTTTACAATAATTTTGTAATTAAAATAACTTTGTTAGAAAACAATCTAAAAAATTCAAAAAAATATATATTAAATATAACTTATAATTTTTGTTTTAATATAAAAATAAAAAATATTTATTAATAAAATTAAAGATAAAAATTCCAATTTTTATTATATTTTATTAATAAAATCACATATATACTTTTATAATTTTTGTTAGTTATTAATTATATAATACTATTACTATTTTATATGATTTTAAGCTTTATCACAAAAGAAACATGTAAATAATATGTATTATTAAATCAAGTGAAAGAGTTTATAAGATATAACTTTAAGTGAAAAAAAGAATATAAATATCTAAAGATAAATAATATATATTTATTTATTAATCAGCTAAAATAAGATCAAAAATATATAAAGGTAATTATATTCTTTTAATAAACAAATTAAATATAATTTTTTTTATTAATTCAATTATATACAGTCAATAGTTATTACTCTTGGAAAAGCAAAATTTGGTGACTATAGAAAAGATATAACTATAGAGGAGTGTGACTATAAACAGGTATAACTATAGAAAAATGTATTTATTAACTTTACTAATATAGATAAGAAATCAATTTTAAATATTATAAGAAATATAATTTCATTAATATAAATGAGAGATTATAAAACAAATAATAAAAATAATTTTACAATTAAAGTAAGAGGTTATAAAAAAAATATAAAAGATAAGTTAAATTCAGTCAAGTTAAGATATAATAAAATTAAATTATTTTTTAAGCTAAAATACATATTGTATTTATAAATAAATTATAAATTGAATTAAATTGAATTTTGAACTGAAATTCAAATCAAAATTCAAAATCAAATTTTGAATTAAATTTCAAATACTAATTATAATTATTATTATTAATAAAATTATTATAATTATTATTGTTCAATAAGATTATTTTAAATATTAATATAAAATTATAAAATTAATTAAATAAAATATTGAATCATAATAATAATATATATTGATTTTAAATTAAACTTGAATTTGTATAATAATTTAGTTCAAACTTTGAATTTTTCTTGATCTTAAGCCAAAATCTAATTTGTATTTATTTAAATTTTATATCAAACTCAAATTTAAGTAAAAATCAAGTTTAATTTAATTTATAAAAATATTATTTTTTATCTTTGAATTTCTTTTTGATAAAGATATTATAATATTGTTACTGTTTTGAGCTTTTGCATATGAAAGTATTTCAAAATAATAATAGTGACTGTGTTCATGATAATTTACTTTAGATTTTATAACTAAATAATATTTATGATAAAAAAATAATATTTCTTAACAAGGTGAAGATGATGATAATAAGATTAAATTGATAACAAGACTAAACTAAAAGGTAGACTTAATCAAAAATTACTTAAAATTCCAAAATAAAATTAATTTAACATGTTAAACTTGACATTAAACCAAAAGAAACTTCAAATAGAAACTAGAACACTTAAGTTGAACTAAGAGAACTTAAACTGAATCAAAAGAACTTGATTTTATTAATTATCAGTACTTGTATTTATATATGTTTTCATGTTACAGTGACACAATATAATATAGTAATATGCAATATGATGTGGCATGACACAGTTGTGACGCAACATGTGATATAGTAGATCTATGCTAATATTATGAAATTATTGGTTTTCTTCTAAATTACATAAAATTTAACTACATCATAATTAATAAACTTGTTCTATATCTAAGTACCAATAGCAAAAATAGAAAATAGAGGCTAAACTAATATAAAAAATGATGAAATTTGCCAAGAGAATGGTGTGATTAATATGTTTAAATAAAGATAACAATGAAATAAATATAGAAAGATAAGTAATACAAGAAAGAAAAAGAAGAAAATAGAAAGAAATAGAAAAAAGTAGAATATTATTGAACTAAATACGTAATCCAAATATCATTATGACTAATTTTTATCATAACTGCATCTTCTATTCATGTGTTCTTATACTGAATTATTGACGATATTGAATTGGTGACAATATAAATATTTATTAATTGCTAATAACATCATATTTCAAACTGCTTGTTTGCAATCATCTTCTCAAAAACTTTCATTTTTATCATTTTCTGCAAAACTCCATTATACAAAATTTTTCAAATAATCCTCTAACTTTGTATAATAACAATAATTATAATTTATACTTTTCTTTACTGACTTTACATGATCACCAGAAAAATAATATTCAATTAAATTGCTAATGTAAACTCCAAATAATCCTGTAAGTGTACTATATCCAATGCTTTCTTCAATTGGTACATCATAAAATGAAAATTCCACATATTTTCAAAACTAGAACGAAATCTTCCGGAAATATTTAAAGTAAAACACCACCAACAAGCCTGACGCACAGATAACAATATTATCAATAAAGAAATTAGACATTGTTAAATTATTATAATTTGAACAAACAAAAAATGTATTTTATTTAATAACTACAAAATAACACTCTTATATAACTCATAAAAATATTAAATAAATGCATACACAACAATAAAAAACGAGTAACTAACCAATCACAACTTCACTGTGACAAAAGTGACAGATGTTGATCTTTCAGGATCTACATAGTAAATTACTATAAAAGGTTTATCAGTTACCATATAAGACCCGTGACAGAAGTGCGAGGTAACAAACCTTTCTTCCAGAATTCCCTTAATCTCTCTTACTAAATTTTCGGCCATTTCAATTTTTTCATTTTCCCTTTCTAATCTTGGTTGTTCACGAGCTAACAGACTTTCTTCTTGTTTCTCTATATAATCTGATATCGTAACAAAAAACAAATTAAGTCTGATTGCTGACTAACCTCAAAATTGCCAAAATAAAGAGGTTTCGTACCATTTAACATGGTGACGGCACGTTCTATTTCGTTGATGGTGTTTGTATAAGATGGGTTTCGTTCGTTAGTTAGTTCAAATGCTCGAATCGAAGATAACCAAGATCTCACTATGAAAGAATCAAATGATAATTAATTTAGAAATCAATCCTTAATGAATCATAGGTAGATAGGTAGATACCATGGTTATGCAAATCACGGTGAATAGGCCGCATTATCTTGCTGAAATGAAGATTTGCTGATTCAAGTAGCACTCCTATAATATCAATTAGATTAAAATCTTCCCAAAAAATTCGAGATGCGCGATAATTTAAATGTGTACCTTGATTCATAGTTTGGGCAATGCCAGGAAATATGTATTCTGCAGACTTTCCAACAACATTCTCATTTTTAGCATTTACCATAACAACAGCAATATTATTTTTAAAAGAAAAAATACCATCGAAAAAGGCAAATCTAAAATTTTCTTTATGTCCAGAATAAATTGATCTTGAAAAGCTCGATATATGCCGAACGAGTTAATTGAGCGTGGTATACTGTTTGAAAATATAACAATATCTGATTTGTTAGTCGAAAGTTAATCAAACATTCAATTTAAATAATACCCGTTTATTTGAATTTGAAGAATTTTATTTAGATCCAGCCCATTGAATACTTTATTTTCTTTGATCATGATTCCTTCAAATTCCTTACTCAATGCATCAATTTGCAATGCATATGGAGAAATATGTTCTAAAATAAAATTTGAAATCTAAAAATAAAAAATTTCGATATACAGATAAGTGCACATTATCGTATATACACGAAAATTAAATATTCGAACCTCTCGATATTGTGACGAAATCTTTGCCCCAGTCTTTTGATTGATATGAATCAATCTCTGAATATTTTTTTGTTTTTCCTCCTGTTGAAAAAAAATCAAAAGTAGAATTATTATAAAAAAAATATATTTTAACAAAAAAAACAAAATTCAATGAAGTTCCTCTACAACTTACCAGAACTTCATTATAACTCGTAATTCTATCAACCGAATTCATCAATTCGTCATTGCTTGCCATATAGGTTTGACATTGTCTTGCCAGCGCATCAGCATGTACGTTAAGTTTCTGTAGTGTCATTTGACTAGCTTCTGCTTCTACTTTTGACTTTAATACTGATCTAAATATTAAAGGTATTGTTTCTTTAATAATACTTTAGATATAGATATATATATATATATAAAAGGTTATTTGATAATGAAAAAGATGCCCACATTATATATTTTTGAAGTTGAGGAATATGTCCATACTGTTTTTTGACAATGGATTCAGCTTCCTCTGCTAATTCTTTAATTTTTTCTTTGAGCTCTTCGATTTCATTTAAAATATTTTCAGTTTCAACAAATCTGCTGACATGATTATCTCGGGATTGCTTTGTTAAGGATTTAGAAAGAAAATTAAACCACAATGTTTCAAATAATAAATTCAACAAATGTTACCTGCAATAACTCCAAGACACTTTGAAAACTTTTGTTGGCCTCTACGTAAGAGTTCTCGGTTGGAACTGTCCTACTACAATTGAAGAGGGTTAAACATGGATGGTTTTTATGTTTATCTAGAAAATGTAATCATATTGACTAATTACTTAAGTTCAGCCACTGACGATTTGAGGTTTTGAGAGATTGATTTCAAGAATATTTTGGGCGAGGTGGATTTTATCAGCTCCTAAATATTAAATTATAATGATAGATGATATTACAATTTTCAGCTATTTATAAACTTACAAGAATAATTATCAAAAAAATCAAACCTCGATTGACACGAGTATACTCGCTTTGTATTCAAGATCGACACTTTCATTACTGAATGACATAATAGGTGAATGGATTCATGAAATTCGAAAATAATACATAATGAAATCCTTTAAAAAAGAATTTCCATTAAACCTGAATATAAGACGCTGCCCAAGTATTTTTAACTTTTCGCATATGTCTTTGATATTAATCTGAAAGAAGCAAATTTATTTACCAATTTTTAATTATTAGGATTAACAAATGCACAGTTACAAGTTTCACTTACCGTCACAGTTGTCTCGCTTCCCTTTAATGACGTCCTTTGAATAATCAAAATAAGTTTTAAAAAATTGTACAAAATAAACAATTTAATAATTATAAATATCACATACTCATTTTGGTTAGAACATGAACTTGTTACATAAGCCGCCATTTGCTTCTGATATTCTCTGCCAGTCTGTTTGATTTTCTCGCTTCGTTCAATGAACAACTGTTTGAGATACATTTTATTTTTCTTCTCGCGAATTTGACATTTCGTGTTCTTTATTTGAGACTCTAACACAGAGAGATATTAAATTAATGATACACTTTTGCGTCAATTTCTTAATCGGCTAATTAACAGAATATTGCTTATAGGATGTTTGAAAATAAATATTACCAACATCCGCAATTCGAGAAATCAATTTTTCAATTTCCTCTTCCTCTTGTTGAACATTATCTGTCATTTTAGCCAACTTTTTTTCAAGTTTGGTTTTCATAACCACATTATTATTGTCATCTGTTGACGAAAAAGCCGTTGATTTTGAAGTTGTTAATGTCGTTCGACTCCTTTTAGAAATGTGCTTTGAATTGTGTAGCTGTCGTTTACTTTTTTAAATGATTTCAATATTAAATCTCGTCGACCCTTTTAAAAGTAAACAATCGATTATACCAATTATTATTACGCCTACCTCAATTGTGCTCGACGTAAACTAGCAACATCGCTAGCATCATGAAAATTTATTGTCATTATTATTATTATTATAAGTTCGATAAAAGAAGAAAACTTTATTCCAAATATTACTTGTTCGATTTCACATTTTCAATAAGAAATCTAAAGATTGGTATAAATTCTTTTTTGCAAATTCTAAATCATCGCAATAATTGGATTAAAAGGAGTCTAATGATGTGATAAAAGAAAACTGTTCAAAATCTAAATAGAAATTAAAAATAACTACTTATCAATATCCGCTTTAATATCGTCTTCTGACTCGTCGTCTTCCAATACCAAAGAAAATCGTCCAGGATTATGACCAAGGTCTGTACGGAGCCAATTTACTACTGACTCCGATAAAACCCCAAGTTCATTTTGTTGCTGTTTCTCTTTCGAGTAAACAGAACGGTAGTTTGTGTTGTTGGAACGAAAGCTATCTGAACTTTGCATTTGAAATTCTCTAAAGGGCCTCAATTGAATTTTCACGCGTCATAAGAAATACTACACGTCTTTCATTTACTTGTATCACGCGATGTCGTGAAACTTGGGTATAAATTCTGAAAATATGATAAATTAAATAAAAAACGCGTTTTCTTCCACAATGCCTCGAGAGTTAATAACAATACAAACTGGCCAATGTGGCAACCAAAGTAAGTTTTATATAAAGTGTTAGTATGTTGGCCAACTATTTCAACATGAATTTTGATTACAGTTTTATATAATAGTTGGAATGGAATTCTGGGGACAACTTTGTGCTGAACATGGTATAAGCCAAGACGGAATACTTGAAGACTTTGCAACTGAGGGTGGAGACCGTAAGGATGTGTTCTTTTACCAGGTTCAGCTGACATTTCATTTTACAAGTTTATAAGATACCTTTTTACTATTTCATGGCTTTTTTTTGATAATCAACCTTTTTGTAGGCTGATGACGAGCATTATATACCGAGAGCTTTACTGCTAGACTTAGAGCCTCGAGTATGTACCAAAAAAATTGATAACTTATCTGATGTCAAGTTTTTGTTTAATCCATTTTTTTTATAATGTTCAATTCATAATTAGGTAATAAATAACATCCTAGCTTCAAAGTATGCAAATTTATATAATCCCGAAAATATATATTTATCAAAAGACGGAGGTGGCGCGGGGAATATTTGGGCATATGGATTTTCTCAGGCTGAGAAAGTTTGCGAGGATATATTTGAAATGATTGATCGTGAAGCAGATGGAAGTGATTCACTCGAAGTAAATAAGATATCATAAGTTCTATGAATGTTCAAAAACGATTTATAGGTTATCTTTTTACATATGATTCAATTATTAATCAAGGGATTCATGCTGCTTCATTCGATTGCTGGTGGAACAGGATCTGGGATGGGCTCGTTTTTGCTCGAGAGGCTGAATGAAAGATATCCCAAAAAACTAATACAAACGTATTCAGTGTTTCCAAACAACGAGGAAGTCTCCGACGTAGTTGTACAGCCTTATAATAGTATTTTAACACTAAAGAGATTAACTGAAAATGCTGATTGTGTGGTATATATTTTTATTTGTGATACTTTCATTTCTACTTTCAATTCTACTTACTATATAACTAATTTGACTATGGTAGATTGTATTGGATAATGCAGCTTTGACGCGAATCGCGAGCGATAGGCTTCATATTCAGAACCCCACTTTTGCTCAGACTAATCAGCTGGTAATCTAATAACTTCATGAGTTTTTAGCTTGCTCGTATCTATCCGCCATTTGTTTTATTTTTACTTTTCATTCACAAGGTATCAACTGTAATGTCTGCTAGCACCACAATGCTCCGCTATCCTGGCTATATGAATAATGATCTTGTAGGGATGATAGCGTCATTAATTCCTACTCCAAAGTGTCATTATTTGATGACTGCATATACTCCATTCACGAGTGATCAAGTGGAAAAAGTTTGTTTTTCTTATTATGTGACATGATGGTTCATTAATAAATAGTATTACATAATTTCTTATTATTAATGTTTAGGCAAAATCTGTTCGTAAAACTACAGTACTTGATGTAATGAGACGGTTATTACAACCGAAAAATAAAATGGTATCCACAAATCCTTCGAAAAAGAGTTGTTACATTTCTGTCTTGAATATTATTCAGGGAGAAGCTGATCCAACTGATGTGAGAAAAATAATTATATAATCAATAATTTTTATTTTGTTTCTGGTAATTTTCAATTTATGTAAATATTTATCATTAATTAATTAATTAGGTTCACAAATCTCTATTACGTATTCGTGAACGGCGATTGGCACAGTTCATTCCTTGGGGGCCCGCTAGTATTCAGGTAGCTTTAACGAAGAAGTCACCGTATGTTCAAACTTCACATCGGGTGAGCGGATTAATGTTGGCTAATCATACGAGCATTACTTCGGTAAACTTTTCAGTTTTGAATTATTGTGCAAAATTCTTATTAGATTTCTTTGTATTCATTACGATTTCTTCCTTGTTTTTTTTTTGATTAATTTCAGCTATTAAAGCGTACTTGTGATCACTACGATCGTTTCAGGAAGCGTGGCGCGTTCTTGGAACAATATAAAAAGGAAGACATGTTTGCAGATAATCTTGAAGAATTCGATAGTGCAAGGTAAACAAACAAGCATCATTAAATAGTTCGTATGTTTTTTTAAATTAACTCTTTTTTACATAGGGAATCTGTTCAAAATCTGATTAAAGAATATGAAGCTTGTGAAAGTCCTGATTACATTCATTATGTAAGTCTACTTTTACTATTGGTGTTTTATCTATAAATCACATGGTTAATGATTTTTTGCTTTATTAGGGAATTGCTAAAGATTGAAAAGACTAATACATGTAAGAATCAATTATTATATGTATATATATACGTATGTGCGGTTTTTATTTTACAATTCAAATTTATAATTAAACACAGTTGAATTATTATTATTATTTTGATTTCCTGATTGTTTTATAGAAAATATATCATTTATCACATCAATTATTTGGAATTACCAATTATTTACTTATTGAAGCAGATTTCTGATCAATATTTGTCTTATTTATCATTTTAGATTGTTTGGTTGTAAATAAAAACTCTTTAAGCTGGTTTCAAACTTGTTGGTTATCTTAAGAAATTTATTAAAAAGAAATAATTACATATTTTTGTTTATATTGACAACAAATATGAATTTCTTTTAACAAGTTAATAGAAAGCTAAAAATTTTTATTCAAAATTATTGTTATAAAGAATTTGTATTTAAATATTTAATCACAAAAAATATATTATCAAATAGTTTTGTATAATAAAATATTTAGTAAGCAGTTTGAATTTTTCAAAGATTATTTTGAATAAAACTTATAATGATTTATATTACATAAATTATTTTTGATTGATTGAATTTTTTCATATAAAAAAATTATATAAAATATGATTTATATTTTATATATATTCTAAATGTTGCATTATTATTGATTTCATATAATTTATATCTTATATATCAAATTTCAGCAGTAGCACAATATTAAATAATTATAAATTTGTATTATATAAATCAAAATATTTATTAAAAAAATTATATTGAATTAAATCACAAAATAAAATATATTACAATATTAAAATAGTTTATATTTAATTACCAATAAAAAAAATACAAATAAATTTTCAAGTTTATATTTTATAATTATTTAATTTATATTTTGAAAAGAATTTTATAATTTTTTAGTTTTATTATACAAATTCAAATATATTTTAAATTTAAATATAAAAAATATCTTTTTAATAATAAAAAATTCAATTTATAATTAGTTATAAAATAAAAATATTATAACAAAATTATTATATCTTAATATTAATCTTTTTAAATAATAAGTAGATATATAAAAAATATATTTTGTATATATAGTAACAATTAAAAATAATACAACAATATCAAAATTTATTAATTAAATACAATTTCTTTATATAAAAATTTTCTATTTTACTAATAAATATTTTTATTTTTACATTAAAATAAAAATAATATTACATATTTTAATATATATTTTTTTTAAATTTTTTAGATTTAATCTAATTAAGTTGTTCTAATTGCATATAAAGCTAATTATTTTTTTACAATTAAAATATATAAAAAATAAATAATTTTATATGCAATTAGAATGACTTAATTAAATTAAATCTAAAAAAATCTGAAAAAAATATATATTAAAATATATAATATTATCTTTATTTTAATATAAAAATAAAAAATATTTATTAGTAAAATAGAAAACTTTATATAAAAAATCTGGATTTTACTATATTTACAATAAATTTAATATTGTTGCATTATTATTATATTTACTTATTAATTAAAAACAAGTTAAAAAAATTAATTTTAAAAAAAGTTATTTAAATATATAAATTAACTTTATATTGAATCTCATGTTGATCTTTGATAATTAATATTAACTTAATTAAATTAGTATCTTTGACTTATTTTCAAGTAATAAATAAATATAAATATACTTTTTTATATAATGACTAACAGAATTATAAATTCATATATGTAATTTTATTAATAAACTCATATATAATTTTATAATTCTATTAGTTACTATATATTTTTTCGTATTTAAAATAAATTAAAAAAACTAATATTAAAATAATTAGTTTTAAGTAAATTAATTTAATTAATTTATTATTAATTAAATTAGTTTATTTAAAACTAATTATTAATTTTTTTTAACTATTAAACAAATATATAAAAGAATATATTTATATATTATTAGAATATTTTTTAAGATATTTAATAATATTAACTTATTGTTATGATATGAATATTTAATTTTTATTTTATTGGTTAATTCATATCATAAATTTAATTGAATGATATTTTATTATATTCTATTGGTTAATTTTATATTTATATTTTATTGAATAGTTATTTTTAGATAGTTATTATTTTATTGAACAATTATATATTAGATATTATTGGT